GACTGTAAATGGTTTGTTCCTCAAATTTTTCAAAACAAAAAATGACTTGTCTTTGGAATTTACAAACTTGCAAAAACATTACAGTTATCATAAAGCCGAATATAATGGGCTAAAGAACAATGACACGTAATTATCTGGTTATTAACTATTTAATAAACATGGGTTAGACTTTTTGCCACTGCATCACACTTTAATTAATCTGGAAAACAGATGTTGCATTGAATAAACATCAAATTCTATTGAAACTTATTTACAAATATATTACCTTAATTAAATATTAATATTTAAGTTGTTGCTTTAATTCAATAATACTTGTTTTTGAAATTTCCAAAAATAAGGCATATAAAGATTTGTTTTAGCAGTATCACGTAAGTAATTATTCAAATCGCAATTATGTCGGTAACCAAAAATATTCAAAAAGAGTTTTTTATGTATTGCAAAATTATCTGTTATGAACACAAATATCAGATATTATTCTTTTAACCGGCATTGAGAAATTTAATGCATTAAATTTAATATTTCTATATAAACGAATATTGATTTTTAAAATTGTTATCGAGCTAGCTTCAATACTTTGTCTTTAATATTCTTCAATCACTGAAATTGGAATTCTAATAAAAGTATTTGATTTGGATCTGTAAATAGCATTATTTTCTATTATTCCTACAAAGTAATAATAAATGTAATAAATGTTGTTGAAAAAGAGTCAAAACGACTTATGTGATCATTTAGATAGATATAAGCGACATCGTGATATCTGAAAATGAAATTTTACTCACGTACTAATTTAAAGAAAGAAATGGGACATGTCGAAATAACTCTTTTATTAATAAATAAAATTTTCTCGCATTTGAAAAGCTCTGGATGCTTCACAATAATAATACCATGGGTAATTTATAAAGGGTATTGTTGGAAACATGATACACACAAGATCTCAGTCTTCATTCTTGTTTGATGTATTCAAATTGAAAAAGTCAATGTTTTGCCAATCTAAGACGTTAGCCAAAGGTAATAAATTACTTTTATCGAACAATGGAAGTTCCTTTGAGATTAGAATTTTGTACGTATCGAACCATTTATTTATTTTCTCATTTCTGTCGTTGAAATTTCTGACAAAGTAATTTTGGGGATTATTCAAATTATTAATTTAAAGACATTTTAATCACAGTCATGATATGTGAACATTATGATAAAATCTACGGAAATCGGATAATCGAAATACGAATAAAAAACCGAATCGCCCGAGGTGTAATTTCACGATCCCATCACCACCATTATTATACCAAAACTAAGTGTATATTAAAATTGCTTTATAGAATTAATGGAAGTTATAATGAAGAGAAAGAAATTAAAAAGCATGACGAGATGGAAATATATCAAAAATGACGAGATGAAGGAGAAGATTACGACAATGACGGTATTGAATAGATGTCAACAACGGTAACAACGGTAATAGCTAATAATGACGTTGATGAAGATATGATAGTTGTGCATCAAAGCAAAAGCGAATTGTTGAAAATTCAACCTCATATCGTTGTAGAAATCATAGAAATTATAAGAAATTTCATCACAAATCATCCGAAATATCTTATGAAGTTTAGGTTCATATAGTAAAATTATAAATTAAAAAACTTAGAAAAAGGAAATTTCAAAAAAGACAATTTTCATGGGGTAAATACTGTATTTATTGTATATACAGTATATGCATGCAAAGATCATAAACTATCGCATGCATTCTACATCACATTCAATCCTACCATTGTTAATATTTTATATTTGGACTCAATACATGCATTTATTATAATGGACATGAATGTTCTTCAGGCAATGTTAACTAGGTCAAGCAAAAAGAATCAGTCAAATGTTCAAATTTCTTTTAAGTGAAAATTTTTATCACGTGATTCATACATAATAATTTGCATCATCGAATACGACGCAGTAAGTTAACGGCATAGCGTCCCAAGCTTTCCGTTCCGTTTCAATTCATTGGACTTTTGTCGTCCAATTCCAATGTACTGTCGAAAGAACAATCAAACAGATGAGTAATCAAGTAATCAAATAATAATTCTTTCACGTGATTATCGAAACATCGTTATGTTCTTAGAAGATTTTTAAACATTTGATTAATTTTTTTTTTTTACGATATTGAACTTTTTAATTTATTACGTCGTAATTTAATAAAATCGCGTAAAAATTGACGAGATTAGTATGCAGTAAGTTGAAAGTGATGAAAAATTATAAAACAAATAAAAAAAAATTATAAATGATTTATTCAGATAAAATATACCAGTACTCTAAATGTATAAATATTTGACTTTTTTTTAAAAAAAAAAAAAAATTAAAAAATTATCAAAATTATCAAAAAAAAAATTGAAAAGAATATATACATGATTCCATATAAAAGTTGTGGGATTACGTTATTCACGACCTATTAATATGTCTAATAATACTTTAAAAAAAAGAAAATAATCTCGCTAAAGAAAGAGCTAGGCTCACTTAAATCAAAATTTGAAATCGCCATGTATAGGAGAACGAATTTCCAATATTCCTTCTTCGAAATATTTAGTGAGAGAATTCATCCCAAAATCATAGTCATCATCAAATGAATCCCCATTTGAATCCCCACAGTTAATAAAATCCATATCACCAAAATGTGTAGTACTACCAAATTGAGAATCCGAATAATCGGAATCATCATAATCAGAATTATAATTCTCACTTTCAAAAATATCCCCTTTACTTTTTCGCATTCCGCCTATATCTATATACCCAATATAGATGACTCTAAAAGGTGCGATCGATTGTCGTTGTTTCAAAAAAGCTTCCAAAGTACATTTCAAATAATCCCAATCCCCTTCAAATATGAAATTAAATATGCTGCGAGGAGCGCATTCTCCAAGTACATTTAAAATGTCATAAATATCACACGCGTCAAATTTATCTTCGACTAAATTAAGTCCAAGGTTATTTAATTTTCTACATTGCTTGCAGAAAAAACGTAATTGTGATTCAACATTTATAGGGTCGATTGTTCCGTGAAATGTAATTATATTCGGACAGCTATATGCCACCGCGTCTAATATTAACCCTGATTGTTCATTATCCAAACTACTATCTACTTCTATTTTAACGTCGACCAAGTTTTTACCATTCTGTCTAATAAATTTAGCAATCTTGCTGAAATCTAATGAGGCTGCTTTAACGTAAAATTTATGCAGCTTTTTAAACTTCATCCTTACTAGTTTATCTTCCGTTTCTTGCGGCATGTCATCAAAAAAGTATAACGACATTTCTCTTAAATTCTCAAAATAACAAAACGTTTCGAATGGAACACCTTGATATCCATGAATTCTCAACCTAATCAAAGATTTAGCTTGTTTCTCTAAAGCCTTACCAATTTCTTTATTTCTATATTGTAAGTCATCAAATTCTTTATTATGACAAATAAATTCTATATTACGTAAAGATTGTTGTGCTTTTATAAATTCTGTTAATCCATAAAAATCATCATCAAAATAGTCTGGCGCTGAACTGATTTTAAGTGTGTCTAATTTGGTTATTAATTGTGATAATACGAAATAAATTTGATCGGTTGTAAATCCTGCCGAACATTCAAATTCTCGAATATTTGAAAACATTTGATTAGATGAAGAAAGTAAATAAGTGAAATTAAATACGGGTAATAAATCAGAGTCACATTCAAAAAAGTCTTCCACGCAACGAAACTTGATGATATGAGGGCATCTATTGACAACCACTTTATAAATTTCTTGTTCTACGAGGAAACATTGAAACCTTGTTTTACGTCCACGTTTTCCTCCACAAAATATCCAATATGATACCGTTAGACTAAATCTAACTATATCAAATGTACTAATGAATTCTAAATATTCAAACATTGGTTTCTTTGTTGAGATTTTCGGTAACTTTATTCCATTGCGAATTAATAATGAACGGGATTCTTCTGACAACTTTTCAAGAAAAACGGTCAGAAATCTCGATGCTTGTGCTCTAGTTTCTTGGTCGGTTAAAGCATTATCATTATAGAGGCTTGATGATTCCGTTTTCGCTATTAACATCGCAAAAGGATCCCTCCATAAGGTGGCCACTGCACTTGCACACCACATTTTATTTACCAACATACATTGGAATAATGTGTTATTATCACCCGGAAAACATTTAAAAATTTCTCCGAGGCAATCCATTGCCATATTTTTTTTGTTATATTTTAGAAGGTATTTTTATTATAAAAAAGAAATATTTCTTTAAAAAAAAACGAAAATGTATGGGAATAAAAAAAAAAGAAAAAATGAATTTGAAATCTATCGCAGTAAAAATCCTATAAATGTAATACGAATCTAATTTTTTAAATGAGATGATCGTCATGTGTGTCGTTCTGATCCAAATTTAGGAATTTTTTTTTATTTTTTTTTTACCCCACCCCATAGAAGAACTGCAGAATAAATAACCTTTTACATTAATATTTACATTTAAATAGCTTTATTTATGTGAACCAAAAAGAACTTATTCACTTTAATTTATCCACATGCCTTTATTTTCTTGATACCGATTGTTATGCAAAAAAATGCAATACAAATGCATACCCTTGTAAGAAAAAAAATTTTTTTTCATCATTCACATGTCAAAAAAAAAATCCATTGTCTGATTTCAAGGACACTAGTAAGATAACTTTAAAAAAAAGTAAATGTGCATGTGTCATAATTAAATTTTGAATGCAAATCGGCTGAATAAATGCCTTGATGTCGATCTCTCTATGAACCCATATTAACATTTGGGGATGAATATGTCTTGAAACATTATATTTTTCCTGAAATGACTATTTTTGGTTAAATTAATCATAAATTGATTTGGTTTTAGTCATAATCCAAGAATTTCCATAGAATCTACTTTGATTATTTTCTCCTCGATAATTCCCGTATAATCTTCATAGAACACTAATTTAACCATATTCCAGTAACTACTCAACAATCAACAATTTATAAATTTAAATTAACTAATTCACGATCATGTGATGAGCTTGTTAATCTTTTTTTCATTCTCAAACCCAAATACCTCCTCCAAACTTACAAACTGATTTGTGCTCGTTTATAAAAAAAAAATAAAAATCAGAAGATTCGATCATTAATTTTGAAAATACAGATTGATGAAATTAGGACTATAAGTTGTGGAGGCAAAGAACTTAGTAAGTCCTCTCTAAATGCACGTATTATATATTTTCTATCAATGCACATCCTAGGTCTATAAAGATCATATAAAATTTCTCTCTATAAATGCACACCCTCTTTAAATGCACATTTTTTTTCAATTTAAGGGGGTGCATTTAGAGAGGTTTCACCGTAATTATATATTTCATGCAAATAACATTATAGGGTGAAAGTATTGATGAAGTAGTTGATGGTGTTGAAGATTTTGCAAAAATTTTCACGAGTTTAAAAATAATTCTCACAAGTTTTGAACCAACATATCTTTTCTTGCTTAGCTATACATTATAAAAACCTAAGAGAATGTTAAGAAATAGTGTTAAGTTAATGACACCTATTATTTTCATCTTTTAGAATATATAGTATATGAAATATTTTCTGAAATGCTAGATCACCATTGCCAATAAATGCGTAGTGGACTTGTTACAAAAGAGCTTTTTGAAGAAAATGATCTATTTGATACATAAATATGCCAAAATTCGTTATACATTAACTAAACTAATGCTTTATTTTATTAAAAAACGGAGCCAAATGATGATGTTAATTTTTATGTTGCCTAGCATTATTAAATAAATTACAATAAACAATAATGATTTTGTATTATCGAACGAAATTCGATTCTCAGCATTAATATTATCCGTAAAACTCGAGATGTTCCTAGTTTTCCTAGTTTAAACAATAATCGGGTCAGTTCAGGTTTGTAAATGTTGACCCAAATATCTTTTAAAGTCAATTTGCACACTTCAAGTTTTCTGAAATCTGACCCGATCCTACCATTTCAGAGTACTTCTCATAGATGATGTCATTTGAGGAATGAAATTCCTGAATTAGGTCGTTGCATCCTATGGATTTTTCCCGAATAAATAAAGTGAGTGTAGTTAGTTAGTTAGCTATCAACGAATGATATACAGTAAATAATTTGTCGAAAATATCGAATCTCAATAAATGCACAAGTATGAACTTTATTTTCGAAATGAGCGGAATAATAATTCTAAGATCAAGCGACATTTTTATACTTATAAGTTATTGTGTGATTTTATGATGTTGACTATAATATTGAAGCAGGTATGTTAATCTTTCATTATTTAAGTATTTATTAAATTTTAAAGCATTAATTCAATTATATTATGTTAAATAGCATCCAATTTATCAACTCCAAATCCTTTATTACATTTTATCAAAATATTCTACAACATTACTAGATGGATTAAGTCACTTATTAATGAATTACATTTTATATATTTTTTTATTATATCTAGCATAATTATTTTTTTTTTTGAAAAAAAATAGATAAAAGTACAATGATTGATACTATAACAATTAGTTCTAATAATATAAAGATCCATTTTAGGAATTAAATAATACTCAAGATCAATAAAATCAGTAACAGTAATTTATGCTTGGTTATTTTTAATAATACTAATAATTTTACAAATGACTAGCTTAACTTAAAATATATCAATGTAGCTTATTTCAATATAAAAAACTTGATTTGTAGTTATTTGTGAGATCAATAAAAATATCGAAGCAAAATCGATAATCAATAAAAATAATTTACCATCTAATAATAATATATTATTAAATAAAAATTTAGTTGAGTTTAAATTATAGTAAAATATAATTATATACTGATAATTAATAAAAAATAACTTACATTCTAAAAGATTAATTTTTTAAATAAAAAATTTATTTGAGTTTAAATTATAGTAAAAATACTAATCAATTACCCTTTATAATAGCTTGTATACTGAAATTAACCAATCACATATCGACTCAACTTTTGAGCAGGCAGACATGCAGACATCTTAAGTCAAACTGCAAAGAATTTATTCGCTACTTCTTGACGAATTACTGTAAAAATTATAAAAATAAACTTATGATTTATTTTATTAAATTACTTTACATCAAAAAGTGTAATTAATTAATTGGAATAATTAACTTTCTGCAATATTATTAATATTTTAATGATTTTATAAAAATAAATTTAGTTTAATTAAATATTATATACTTAATAAAATAACTTACCGACTAAAAACCAATAAAAAATTTTTAAAATAAATTGTTAATTAACTATATAAGTTAAGATATATAAAAGTTAGATGGCTTACAATCTAAGTATCAATAATAATTAAATTCATCATATTTTATAAAAAAAAAAGTAAAAACTTAACAAATAGATAAATGTTTATTACTAAGTAATTCTGTTAATGTAGAGGCATAAGAAGCATCTGAAACTGGCAATATTATAATATATTAATTTATGAGAAAAATTTTGAAATTAATTCTATAATTTAGTACTTAAATAATTTATCAATTTTCTTTACCATCTAATATTTCTAATTTTTGAATAATATTTAAACAGATTTTAATATTTTGTTAAATACTATTGTATTTATCTTCATCAATCTTTCATTAATTCTATAATAAACGTATTTACATTATTATAATTATTATAATTGATTTCATCAAGTGGATAATAATACATAAAATTACCTTTTACAGTACTTTTTCTAATGAGGATTTTTACTTAGTATTGAAATAACTTTAATGTAAATTTATAAAAAAAGAATTTGAGAAAATTACATCAAATAAAACTCATTTGTAGTATGCTAAGCTTTATGTTTTTTTTTATGTTTAGTAGAAATATTTTTTAATACACTTTACTTTTTATCTTTAATGTTATTACTATCAAACATTGTTATAAAAAGTTTTTAAAAAATATAAATAAATAAATACAGTCAAATCTCTATATAACAATACAGATGTTTTGAGAAAAAAATATCGGTATATCAAGTTATCAGTATATTATAAAATTTTTATGTAATGATATTTGTATATTATATTGATCAATATCGGTATAAATAATAAGCCAATCAGATTTCAATAATAAATATCTTAAGAAAAATGACAATTTTTAAAGTAATATTATTTAATAAATCAATTAATAATTGTAAAATATTAATATACTATATGATCCACAATTTTATTCTCTTTCTAACGAATATTTAAATATAGCAATTGAATAAAAATTAAGTAACTTTATTAGAGACAAAAGTGATTTTGAATTTTACAAAATATTGCAAAAAATTACATATTTTACCACCATACTTTCAAATACGAACCTCTCTCTATTATATAGTTTTTTTCATTTATTTTACATACATGTTCTTTTTGTTTTGATTTCAAAAATAGTTCAAATATGTGATTGCATATAAATAATATGTGTTTTCGTGTTTGTGATCATGATCACATAACATATAAAATATAAATGTTATTATTTTTTTCTTTATTTAGCATTATTAATTTTTACAATTCTATAAATTTTGTATTACAATATCTAATTTTTCAGATTATTATTATTAGCACTATAATTCATAAAATATTTTAAGCTAACTTGCTTTTTATTATTAAAATTATATAGCATTACTTGACTTCATAATAAATGAACTATCAAAAGCTATTTTAATTCAACAGCAAATCCATCAGATGCATTAGCTAAAAATCCTAAAATATTATCTAAAGCACATAATGCAATATTAACAGAAATAGATTAAATAGGTACTATTTCTTCATTTTCTTTATTATTTTTTTCTATAAGTTGTATTAATTGTATAATATCTTCATCTGTTAAAGCTTTATGAATAATATTATCATTTATAATAGCAAATTCTTGTATAGTCATTGGATTTTCAATTTCAAGACGATTAATTAATATTTGCATATTATCTAATTTTTTAAATAGCTTCAAATTAAAGTGAATATTGATGTCATCTATTTTATTTTCAGAATTTAAATTCTTTTTCAAATTAGGACATATATCTATTTTTTGCCAACAATTATAAATTGTTTATATAATTATAGCCTTCTATACATCAGTAATAAATAGCATCGCATCAAAAATATTAAGAGAAGTAGAAGTTCTATTTAATTATTATACTATATCATATGCTTCTATATGATCTTATATAAGCCATTTTCTATATTATGCCTATTAAAAAATATAATATAATTAATAATCAATTTAATAAATATAATTTATATCATTATTAAATATATAAATAAATTTTACTATACCTTAGATAAATTGATAATACCTGCATCAAATAGTTGAAGATGTGATGTCGTATTAGGTGATAAAGAATGCGCTTTAATATGAATTAATAATTCAGAATTATTAATTTTATAATTTGAAGCATTATTAACAAGAAGAAGAATTTTTCTATTTTTGCGACGCATCTATGTATTAAATTTTTTTAAAAAGTTATTCCATATTGATACTTGTATCTATGGTATTTTATTCTAATAATATTATACTGGTAAACTTTCTTTTTATTTACTAAAAAGAGCATGCAGATTTTCATAATGATGAATAAAATGTGAAGAAAGTTTCTTTGTCTAGTAGCATTACATGTTAACATTATTTTAATTCAATTTTTAAATTTTTTTATTTCTAAAATAGAATCACTTTTAGATGGTTCTAATTACCAAAATAAAGCTAAAACAAATTAAATATGATTATTAAGATATATAAATATCAATCATATAAATACTTGCATTAAGTTACCTGTTTCATCACAGTTGAATACATTTTCGAGTTCATATTCACTAATAATATTTTGGAGTTTTGCTTTTTCATAATCTAAAGTATCAAGTGAAGCATTATGTACTTCACCTACTTTTATATATTATTTAATATGATGACATCTTTTAAATTCTGAAAGCCAACCATCTGATGCAGAAAATCTTTCAATATTAAACATTTGTGTAAATGTATATGCTTTTACTTTTAAATCATCTCTTATAATTGTTTAATTTGCAGAAAGTACTTGTATAAACCAGATTTTTAGAGCACTTTCAATTTCAAGATAAGCAGGTATACAAATTCTTTTTCTAAAATCATTAGATTTTATATCAGTTTTAAACCATTTCTGTTTATTTTTCAAAATATCTGAGATTATATTTTGTTTAACTCTATAAATTATCGCAAGTTGATTTGTATTAGTTATGGTTTTTATTCATACTTCAAACAAATTTTGCATTTTTGAGCAAGTGATAATATAATACGAGTTTTTTTAATAGATATATCTTTATTACTATCAAGAATATTTCTTTTTTGCAAAAGAGACATTTTGATAAAATTTAAAATTTTAATATGTAAAAAATATAAGTTGATATGTGAAATACACAAAATACAAATTTGGTAAAATTAAATATCTTATAACTATTTATTTTTATTTAAAAAAAAGACCGGCATTTTTTTTAAAAAAACTATAAAATTGTTTTTTTAAAAAAAAATTTATCCAATTGTATTTTAAAAAGAATATTATTTTTTTGAAAAAGAGTTTAACAGGTTATTTTTTAAAAAAAAGTTCACTGGGTTTGTTATTATTTTATTTAAAAAAAAGTTTGTTGGATTACTTTTTAAAAAAAATTTCTTGTATTGTTTTTTAAAAAAAGTTCTTTAGGTTATTTTATAAAAAAAAATTCATTAGGATGTTTTTAAAAAAATCTATTAAAAAAAAAAATATTTTTTTTAAAAACATTTTTTAATATTAAAAAAGATGAACTCAATATTAATTTATAATATAACCTTTTATTCCAAATATACATTTATTATGAAAAATAATTTTATGATATTTTTTATATTAAAAAAAAATTTTTTTTGTGAAATTTACACAACATTATAAATCATGTAATATTATATACTATTATAAATAAATTTTATATCATTATATATGAATAGGAATATTAAAAAGTCCCATGAGATCAGGTCCTAAACAGTTCTATGAAGTTCAGTCAAGTTTAAATCCTTTGAACTATAGGACTGCATTCTTATTTAAATTAGGACTTGTGGTCCTAGGACTGTGATCCTATATAAAATAGGACAGAACTGCAATCCTAATATAAAATGAGACTTGCAGTCTTAGAAACTAATAAATTAAAGTCAAAAAGGAATGATAAGAAAATCATTTGTCTTGAATGATAATATATCATTCTATAAGAATAATGTAAAAAATCATTCAAATAGAATGATGAAAAAATCATTCGACTTAAACGATAATGTATCATTTTATTAGAATGATAAATCAATTGCTAATCTTGAACGATAATGTATCATTTAAATAGAACGATAAAACAATCGTTTAAGAAGAATGATAATGTATCATTCTATTAGAATGATGAATAAATCATTCAACTTGAACGAGAATGTATCATTCTATTAGAATGATGAAAAAATTATTCAAGAAGAATGATAATGTAACGTTCAAATAGAATGATGAATAAATTGTTCAACAAAAATTATAATGTATCATTCAACTAAAACAATAAAAATATCATTCTTCTAGAATGTTATAAATAAAGATCATTCTTCTTGATTGATAATATATCGTTTTATTGGAACAATTAAATTTTGAACTGTAAATATTATGAAATTTTATTTATTTATTTTAAAAAAAAAATATAAATAATAAAGAATATATATAATTATTATTTTCAAAACTATTGACTAAATACATATAAAAATTCAAATATTTTGTAAAGTTATTAATTCACTATCAATCCAACTTTTTAAGCATAATGATACTTACTTTGTATGAACTCATTATTACATTAGCCTTATCAGAAAAAAATTGTTCTAATTATCTTATTTTTCTTGCCCTAATTTGTCTCTAATACGTCAGAAAAAAATTGTTCTAATTATCTTGTTTTTTCTGCCCTAATTTGTCTTTAATACGATTAGTTTTTGTATTTGAGATGCATTTGATCCATTAATACATACATATTGACAAGCTCTTGATATTGTATTTGAAGCAGCCTGTAAGATTATATTTTATGTAGTTCAATAATTTTTAATAATATATATTATTTTTATATATTAACTCCTAATTTTGATTTGAGTTCTTGATAAGTAAATTTTGTAGCAATAATTGAAAGAATTCACCTTTGACCATTTGAATTTTTATTTGTATTTTTCAATACATCATGAAATGCTTGCCAAAATGTATGAGATTGATTTTCTGGTTGACATGGGTTTGGTTGAAGAAATCCATGTTTATAAAACACTTGTAATGTTGTATTATTCTTTTGTGCATTATATGCTTTTATTTAAAATTCAAACTAAATAAAATAAATAAATAATATCAATAATAAATATAAATAATGTCCTATGCTTTACTTCAGACAATAAGAATATTTTTTTTTGCATGATTAACTTTAGATTCTTTTTTTTTGAAAGGAGTAATATTAGTACATCCTGCATTTTGAACAAATGCCTTTTAAACACACTATTCTTGATCACTAATTTCGTAATTAGGTGGATATAAATCTAGAATAGCTTCTCGTAATTCTAAAATGTCACTCTTTGATTTAACCATTTATCAAATAAATTATGCTACCTAATTTTATGTAATGAAATTTTTCTTTTCAAATGATATTTATAAAGATTTTCTAATATTCCTTTAAAAGTCTAATCTAATACTGTACAAAAAGAAATTTGTATTTGCTGAATACAAATTTGCATATATGAGTTTTCTAATTCAAAAACTTTTTTTCAGGATAATTTGAAAGCCTGTTAATCTGCAACCAAATTTTGTCAGGATCGATATCACTATATGTTCTTACTAAAGTACTGTTAGTAAATATTTGAACTACATACTCTTCATCTTTTAACACTTGAATAAAGATTGATCTTATACCATCAAATTTGTATTGAAAAATAGACTTATATCTTTCTCCTACATAGTTCCACTTCAGGTTTTTTGATTTTTCTATTCCCAACACAAATATATTCAATTTCCCAAGGTTAAACATAAATGGATGAAATATAACATTGCCAAGCAATTGCTGTATAATATTTGAATTATCAAAACCCATAATTAGTGGATTAGGAAACTTTGTATTTGAAGGAAAAATTTCTTTATAACAAGTGTTATATCTTCTGTTGACGAACTGTATATACCTAATTGGTTTTCTTGAGAATAATACAAGAATCCAGAAGAATTTAGGCATTCAGTATTTTCTACAATGCTAATTATAAAGTCACAATTGTCAAAATTGTAATAGTTTCATTTCTAAATGAATTGGAACGAGGAAAGTATGTGTAGGAGTTTTATTTGTGAATTGTATAAACCACTAATTACAACAAAATAGTATAAAATGTAAATTTTCTACAATTTGACTAGGAAAAATAAGTTTTGTAACATACTCTTTATTTTTATTACTTTTATTCATATGTTTTAACCTTAAAAAAAGTTGAGTTTATTAAAAATGCAAGATTTTAAAAGACTCAAAATTATATAGGTGTATTATTCCCAGATTGATATATGAATTTATATATGACAATCTCTACTTTTTGTTAGATCACGAATTAAAGTATTATTAAATGCAGTTTAATTGATAATTTGCAAAGAAAATAATGCTGCAATGAAGATCAAAAACAGAATATTATTATTTTAAAATATAATATAGTTATAATATTTCAGGCTAAACCACTTTTCCAAATCCTAAACATTTCAGATTTTGATGAACAATTTAAAACCTGATCTAAACTCTATAACTGAAGTAAAACTTAAATATAAAACCAAACCAATAAATTCTAAATACTTTACTGTCTAAAACTAATCTTTATGATATAAATACTAATATATTAATATTTCATTCCATAACACTATATAATTTATAAATATTTATTTAAATCATTAATTAAAAAGAAAAATCCAGCAAAAAATTTATTATAAGCTTTATGTAAATTTTCAAGCTAGGATTATATATAGTAATGCCTAATTAGGCAACATAATCTATAAAAGAAAAAACTGCATAATATTTAAGCAAATAATCTAAATATTATATTTACTTTTTTTCTTTTTTTTCTTACAATAAATAAATATTTTTTTTAAAGTCAGAAGCATTTTTTATTCTATTCTTTATACTCTTTATACTATATATTATTTTAATTTATTATTTGCTAATATGTAAAAGTTATTTGCAAAGTTAAATAATTAATTCATAATATATAATATTAATAAATTTATTTATTTTTTTGCTTTATCGAAATTTTATATATTACTCATAAAATTGAAAATTTTCAGTTATATAATTTAGTTTTGGAATTAGTTTCATCTTTGGATAATATAGGAAGATTTCAGAGTTTTAGAGAATTGCATTCTTAAGCGAAACCTATTTTAAAAAGTTTCAATTTCAAATTTAAGCGAAAGGTTTAACCTGAATCATTAGTATTACACAATACTATTAAATTTTATTTAATTAAACTTTCTTTCAATAGAATAATATATTTATATAATATAACAATTTTTATATAGTTGGCAAAAGTATTTTAAAAATAATTAAGATAAAAATTTTTGCAAAATTTAAAAATGGGAAGTACTGAAGTATAAGCTTATTAAAAGTCTTTTTTTGCCTTACAGTATAGCTTTATTAATAAAAAAACTAAAGAGCAGAATATATTAAAAGTACAAGTCTAAAGGTAAGTTTAAAAATAAAAAAAATTATATATTATATTCATAATTAATATCAGAGTTAGTATCAATTCTTTTGGTAACGTTACAATTAAATAATGTATTTAAAGAAATTTTTATGTAAATTTGTTGTCAGTAAAATTCATATTTTTATATACTAATTGAATTACTTAATTACTAATAAATATTATAAATTTTGTAATAAATTACACTTAAGCCAGATATTAATATGGTTTTGCTTACGCAAAATAACTATTTTATTTATATTTGATTTTAATAGAGTAATTTTCTTATTTTTACAGTAATTCTTTTTGATCTATTTTTATTTTTTATCAACAAAAAATATATAATGATAATTAACAATGTGGTTTCACTATGAATGTCAAAATATTTATTACAGATAACAATTGTGTTGTTAACTATTCATTAGAAAATATTAATTTAACACATCATATTTATAATATTGCATGTGTTATTCTTGAGTTTTGATTGTGCTAAAATTGGATTACTGCAGCTATGATGATCAATATATGTCAATTCTATCAGATCTATTAATATTGATATATCAGATCTTTAGGATAATATAGATTCCTTGGCAAGATGAAAAATATATATTAAAATGATTATTTTTGACATCAGAGATTAATTAATTAGAATTTCTATCATCTAAGCTGTAAGTACTAAAGAATGTCATAACAAAGCCATAGGAAGGAATTTATGATATAAAAGAATTTTATTTTACTTTTAATTAATGATAGGATTTGAATAACTTTGTAATTAAATAGTTCTTTTCTCTTAGAACAGTAAAAAAACACCAGCAGAAGTAGTAATTATATATTTATTTGAATTCTTTAATATTTGTAATAGAACTATTTCCTTTATTTTATTTAATAAAACTTCATTACTTTATTTATTAAAATTAGTCTACATTAAAGATGAGAACTGTAATTAATATATTGCAATTAGTTTTAACCTATATATGTTGCAACTTATAATATTGTAACATATGGGAGATTTGCTAGGAAAATTGGGTTCTGAGCATTTTTTATTAAAATTTTAATGTTTATTGCATTTTAATCTAATAGTATCAAACATTAAAATGCAATAAAAATTAAAATTTTAATAAAAAATGCTCAGAG